AACTTGGCCTTTTATATGATGCTTAAGGGAGTTTAGTCTTTATAAGAGAAGGGGTCATCTTTCAGTCATGCTGCTTACCCATGAATGACAAGGTTTCAGGTTCTTTTTAAGTAAGATAAGAGGGAAGGATGGATTTATTATTGTTGTTGTTTTCTGGGTTTATTTTTTTTAAGATTCATTTTAGTTTTAATGATGTGCATGTGTGTCTGTGTGTTTGTGCACATGACTGTATATATCCTTAGAGCCAGAAGCATTAAATTTTCTGTAGATGGAGTTACAGGGGGTTTTGAGCCATCCAGTATGGGTGCTGGGATCCCAACTCAGGTCCTCTACAAGTGCAGTATGTGCTCTTAACTGCTAAGCCTCTCTCCAAGCCCTCCATGCTGGTTATTTTTTTTTTAAATTAGTATACAAAGTAATAGACTTCATTACAGCATTTTCATACATACTTTTCTCTTGTTGATCACTAGCCTCCTCCCTCTCCTTCATTCTTCTGGCTCCTCCTGCTAGTCCATTTCCTCCAAGGGCCCCTTTTCTCTTTCCTGTCACACATAGTCTATTACCTTCTTTTTTTTTTCTATTTTATATCCTTTTTCTCTTCTCATAGACCACTTTGTGTGTTTGTGTGTGTGTGTATGTGTGTGTAATTAAAATTTAAGATCTGCGATTGAGACAAAACCATTTTAAGACCTTCTGAAGTCATTATATAGCATGCTGTAGCTGATTACATGAATTTTAAGTTAAAAAGAACATGTAAGAATTTAAAATCACAGCTCCTAATGCTACTGAAGACAAGGATGAGAACTTGATAGAGCACAACTAGTAGTCCCTATTAAGATCCCTAAGGACAACTTTCCCTTCTAAAAATCAATCTTTGGGAAATAACACTAAATATATATTAAAAACAACTCTCTTGTATATTGTAGTGCTATTTATAATAATCAAAACCTGGAGGTTGGGTAAATGTCCATGTAGACAAGTCATACCCATGAGATCCATCAGTCAACAGTAATAAAGACAGATGTGAATCATGACATAGGATGCGGAACTTGGAACTCGATATGTAGACTAGGCTGGCCCTGATCTCTCAGAGATCCTCTGCCTCCCTTTGCCTCCCCAGTGCTGGCATTAAAGGTGTGAGCCATTACACTTGGCTCAAAACAAATGCAAATTAGAATAGCTCCTACCTACTATCTCTTTTCTTCTTTTGAAACATGTTCAGTTTTTGTGTTAAGACATCTTAACTTTTGGAGATTATGCACTGACATTTCTATCCTGTAAATGAGTACAATTATTTTTCCTCTTAAAATTTTACTTGTCCTTGGACTTTTAAAATTTATTTTAACTGATATAAGGTCATAAAAATGATCTATATTTGGACCTCATGTAATGTTTTGATGCATGTATAGATTGCATAATGTTTAAATCAAGTTAGTCATATTTATCTCCTCAAATCATCATCAATTTCTTGTAAGGAAAATTTTCAAAATGCTTTTTACTCTAGCTTTTTGCAATGTACAATTTGTTATTATGATGTGTGGTCACCCCACAATAAACAAAGTAGCAGAACTTGTTCCTATCTCTCAGTAACTTAGTACCACCATAAGTCAGCCCCTCCCATCCTTCCTGCTACCTGACCCGCCCTGGCCTCTCAACTATCATTTTATTCTTACCAACTATCCCTGAATTTCATGTAAAATTATGGAACTGTAAAACCTTGCTTTCACACAGCAACCACCAATTTAATGAGGGAAATAGAAAGACCTTCTTCACTAGAGATTTATTTTGATATCAAAAGATTGACTAAGGGTTGGAAAGCTGGTTCTGGGTTAAGAGTGCTGCTGCTCCTGCAGAGGACTTAGGTTCAGTTCCCAGCATTCTCATGCAGCTCACAACCCTCTGTAACTCTAGCTCCAGGGAATCCAATGCCTCTTCTGACCTCTACAGGCATTGCATGCCTGAGGTACAGGCAAAATACTCAGACACATATAACTTTTAAAAGATTGTAAAAGATTCAGATATTGAACATATTCAGTGTCAAATGTTTTAGATACTATGATAAGTAAAGCTTTTTATCCAAGCTCATTAATTTCATGAGTTTTGATCTATGATTACTTTTCCATGCATAACCTTGGCCTCCCCCCATTCCTAGGCTGTTGCTTCAAATGCACAAACCACCAGCTTACAGACATTATAATAAATCAGAGTAGCTACAGAATTGAAACTCATTTGAACATTCCACACTTTACTTTTCCCTAATGTGTCATAGCACTGAAGTTTGCAAAACCTAGCATGGGCTCAGAGTCCTCTCATCATAGTATTCCAGACAGCCATTAGCTACCAAAAAACCTGACAGATGAGGCTATGTATCATATTTAAATCAATGATAAATCAGAAAATTCACTTGCCTCATATGTTTGAAATTTACTTTTGAAATTTATTTCCCATCGGCCAATCAGGCTAAGAGTATGATAACTTTAGGATGGACGGTACATAGAATTTCAACATTTGTTAGCTGTCCCCATTGGATATGGATGAATGGTATCAATCCTTGGAATGTTACCAATTTACCCTTATAGATGATAAAACACATTTTTAAATGATAATATATTTATCAAATATTGAATTATTTCTTTCTTATAACCAGAGATAGATAGTTGCAGATTCAGGAAACCAAAGAAGCTTACACTCAAAAGATTATTCTAGATAGGGGCTGGAGAGCTGGCTCAGGGGTTAAGAGCACTGGCTGCTCTTGCAAAGGACCTGGGTTCAGTTCCTAGCACACATATGGTGGCTAACAACTGTATATAACTCCAGTTCCAGAGAATCTAATGCCCTGTTCTGGCATCCTCAGGCACTGCACACACATGGTTCACTTACATGCAGGCAAACTCTATTAAATAATAATAATAATAAATAATTTAAAAAGAGAATCACATAACATTTTATCCTAGAATCTTTTAAAGCAGTTCCTCCCCCAATATTCACAATGTGTTACCCAAGAAATACTAAAAAAAATTGTACAGTAGTTTCAAACTAATCAAAACATGCCAAGTGCCCCAGAAACCTCTTGAGCCAAATGTGTGTGTGTGTGTGTGTGTGTGTGTGTGTGTGTGTATATATATATTTCAAGAATCCTTGCCAAAGCAAAATTTTCAAATGTGATTGTGTGTGTGTGTGTGTGTGTGTGTGTGTGTGTGTGTGTGTATATATTTCAAGAATCCTTGCCAAAGCAAAATTTTCAAATGTGGGCAGTGTCACATGAAGTTAGTCTGAAGAACTGAATATGCCTGATAGGTATCTGACTCACATACTCATGAGGCTTTTTCTCTCATGAATATTGCCTGGAATATGCCAGAACAATAAAAGCAAGTTTGGGCACAGAAAGCATCCCTATTTTCTATATAAAATAGCCTCTGCCTTTTCCCATGCTGACTCTGCAAGGCAGCTAATTTACAAATATATAAATAGTTGCAACTTTACTCCAGTCTCATTGAAAACTCAAAATGGCATCATGCAGGAGAAGCATCCTAGCATACTTGACTCAGTAAATGAAATGTAAGTGGAGATGAGCCAAGTGATTTGACACTCGCTAGTCAGTTTAACCAGACACCCTCCAGTTTCCTGTAGTGGAAAGACCAAGGTTTTGCTTTGCAGAGCTAGAAAATTCACTTATATTGATTGCCCAGAGACTGGAGAGCAATTTAGATCCAAAGGTTGGAAATCAAATTTCAATTCATGCCTAATACTTATAATCCCATGGATTCAAAGGGGGAATAGTGTTCCCTAATAGTGGCAGTATGTTCAAAATTAGCCAAGCTTGCTTTCATGAAACTCTAATGAATTTAAAAGGTTTTATTCTAATCCTTTTGCCACTTGGCCAGAATTATGGGGATTTAAATCAGCAAGAAGAAAGAAGTAAGAAAAAATATATCTTAATTTGGAAAAGAATGTATTGTGTCTCCTAAATTCATTAAAGTTATTAATTAAAGTCACCCCTAGTTAAGAAATATATGTATGAACAATACCATGCATCTTGCTTATCCTTTCAGCATATGCATAGCCAAGTATGGAACAGCTGGACTGTCCTTGGAGCCTTCTTGTAAACCACCTTTATGTATGCTTACAATCACACTTCCTAGAGTAGCTCTGTGTGTACACCTGCAGAAGCACTGCGGGTGATGATCATGCCAATATTCCCCAACATCAAAAACTCTCTTCCTTAACACAGTTCTTTCTTGTCAATTAATAAACAGCTTTCTTTTAAAGATGAATATCTTTAGGTAAGCTAAAATTACCTAAAGTATAACAGAACAGGAAGTTTAAAAGAAACATTTCTCAAGGAAAAATTGACTTACAGAGAATCTGAGGACGGGCAATGAGACAGTGATGAAAGTGAAAGCATTCGTGTCATAGACGTTTTCACATAAAGACATTGATGCTGCGCACTAGACACAGGGTACTTGTGGCACTTCACTGCTGCGCAAAGCTAGACACAGGGTTATTTGTGGTGCTTCTTTACTTCAGGGTATTCAGACACAGGACCCAAGAAACAAATACCAACACCATTTTTCTGTACTTTGAACTCTATTCAATATAAAAAGTGAGTATCCAATGCTAAACTCCTCAGCTAATTCATCATGTAATTTAGACTATGTAGGAATAAGCACATGAATATCAGCCTTCAGTCTGCGGCTCTCCATTGCATCTTATGTTTTACAGCTCACATTTTGAAACCTGATGTTGGTTATGTCTACTTTAACTATAAGTGAGATTTCTTCGAAATGTATTTAATTCTCTAAAGCTTATTTCTTCATGCATATAAAGGATCCAATTGCAGAGTTTTGTCAATAACAAATGCATAAGCAGTGCATTCATCAAGGTACACCATGAAGTGCTCTCTACTGAGAAAAGTTTTATATTTTTGAGCAACTACTTCGGAATATCCCTAGGAAACAGTGTTTCTTTAAAATGGAAAGGAAACTAATTAGTTTACTTACATGGTATCTCTGATAAGAAGCACGCTTCCCAGTTTGAAGCAAGTTTTGTCACCTTCGCAAAATGCATGCCTCAGAGAAAAGCTCTCTCCTAGATCAAAACCTGTAAAATGTGACGCATTGTTTAATTCCACAGTTTTACTAAATGCAGTAAACTCACAGAAATATTGATTTTTTTAAGCAGAATTTTGTTGTTGCTGTTGTTGTCAGCCATTTCTACAGATTGATTTATTTCAAATAAAATACTGTTTGAGATCAGCAAAATTGATCAATCTCTCCCCGACCCCACGCTTTAGGGTCCAGGAGAATGAAATTAACTGTGCATGCAGAATGTACATCAGCTTTCTGAAAACAATTCGTGAATATAGTTCTTTTTATTTGAGTCTAGACTTGAACTCTCAGCAACCCTCCCAACTTCAGCCTGTCCAGTGCTGAGACTGCAAGTATCCACTATCACCATGCTCCGCATCTCACACATACATTTCTTTTTATTTTTTCCCTTTTTTTTTCCCATCTTTTTGAGACAGGGTCTCCCTGTAGCGCCAGTTGGCCTGGAACTCGCTATGTAGATCAGACTGTCCTTGAACTCACAGAGATCTGCCTGCCTCTGCCTCCTGAGTGCTGAGATTAAAGGTTTACTCCACCATACCCAGTACATGGATACATTCCAAAAATTAAGTAGTAATTTGCTTTAATCTAGGAGTTGTCCTAAGCAAATTATGACACCAGTTCATTGTAGCATCTTAAAAGTATAAACAAAAATTAACCAGAATAAAAATAGTAATCATTCATTTTGAATCTAAAGAGTTTTGTATAAAACCATACTTTAAGAGAATTATATGAATATTGAGGAATAATTATGTATATGTGAGAAATTGAAGAAAAACAGAAAGAAGAGAAGGAACTGAAAGGGAGGTGAGGGTAGAAGAGGAAAAAAGGAGGGAATGTTGTCTGGGTGTGGTAGCACACTCCTGTACACCTCATACTTGGAAGGCTTCAGCATGAGGATCCTCAGTGAGGCCAGCCTGGGACACACAGGAAGACCCTGTCAAAACAACAACAACAACAAAAAACCCCAGCAATGACAACAGTAATAACAAAAGAAAGTAAAAAGCAAAAGAAGAGAAAAATACACAAATGTTATTCAAAAAAAAAAAAAAAAAAAAAAAATTTATTAAAAAAAAAAAAAAAAAAAAGAATATGGCACCTGTGACTACATCTGGATGTCCACATCTTTCTCTTAATGTTCTTTTATTGTTTCAAAAGTTCTATAGCAGATACAACTTTTGTACTTTTAAGTAGCTTTTGTTCTCCATCAGGTTTAGATGTTGTTAATATTACATCTCTGGTGATGATTTTACATAAAATGCTACTTAAAAAGGATTGTAATGCTTACCTGAAACTTCAAGTTTGTCTCTGTCATCTTGCATAAAGTGGTATCTCTCAGTTCTCAGTAAAGGACATGATTTTTCTATTTAAAGAAAAGAAGAAATTATTCACACTAAATTTTACATCAAACTTTTCCCAAATATACCTAAATCTTATCATATAATCAGAAACAAGATAAAAATGAAAATAAAATAAATTGAACCACTTTATTGAATTTCTATCAAGCAAGGTTAATGATATTACCTACCCTCATAGTATGTCTATGGGGATTTGAGGTGTTTGTACATATACAGTATTTATTTATTTTAAATTTTTGTTTGTTATTTGAAAATTCATGTAATATCTTTTGATCATATTAAGAATCCTCTCTCATCTCTATTCCCACCCTACTACCCCCACATTTCATGTTCTTCATTATTACTTTTCTTTTTCATAAGCCTTATTGAGTTTAATCTGTGTTCTCCAAATGCTTTCTGGTATGGTTTTATCTCTTGGAGTCTCCCTCTCCCAGAAGCTATCAATTGCCAATAGAGAGATCCTCAGTTAAGACTGGAGCTTCTTCCCTCATCCCCCATCCATGCTGGGTTTTTGTCTGGCTTAGGCTTGCACAGGTCTTCTGTGGTCACAAGTGTTGTGGGTTCATATGTGCAACTACCCAGTGGTGTCAGACAATACAGTTTCCTTGTATTCCTCTACCACCTCTGGCTCTTACAATCCTTCTTCCCCCTCTTCCACATGATCCATGAGCCTTGGGAGGAGAGGGTGTGATACAGTGTCCCATTTAGGGCTAAGCACTGTGCAGTCACTTATTCTCTGCATGTTGACCAGTATTGGGCCTCTGTTGGAATACGGCCTGGTCCTGGTGAGAACAAGTAGGCGTTAGCTGTTATGATTATTATCACACTCAAAACATTCCACTTGTTTCTGTATATTTGGCAATAGGAAATCATTTTTCACAACTTCATTAAACTTTCCAATCCAAAGTATAATCTGATAGTTGAACAAGGAGACTATTACCATTAAAATTAAAAAAATCATAACTTCTATTCAGGTTTTGCTAAGTCTAGAACAGAAGGAGACATAAATGAGAAAATATACAAAATTTAAAAGTAAAGATTTTTTTCCAAATGATAAAAAAATCCTAAAAAGCATTGAGAAAGTACTAAATATGTGTCAATGTTACTCAAAGAAAGAGTTAGTCTGCACTCTAGTGAATTTGCATATTCAATACTAATACGCCACAGTAATACAGTACTGTATTTGCATACACTAGTCTCTAAACATCTGAGGATATATTGAAATCTAATTCACTTTATAACATACAAACATGATAGTTCAGACAAAATTGGATCCAATTTTTAGACTATGTTACGGTAACTATACAACTAGACAGCCAAGGTCTTAAACTAAATTGATTAAATTTTTTGACATTGTGCAGCCACAAGTCCATGTCTAAAGTTTATGTTTTGATTCCATCTCTTAAAAGTTTATGGTGTAGACAGTGTATAAACTGCTCATAACCCAACTGATCATCTTGTGCTTGACTGAAAGTGAAAATCGCTCATTCTTCAGTTAATTGCTGAATGCCTCAGCACTTCACTTGACAGACATATTTAAAAAGAAGGATAAGTCTAAATAGTGCAATCAATTAATTAGATTTAAAAGTAAATACTTGGGGGGGTTGTCTAGATACCACAGGGCAGTTGCATATAGAACCCATAGCACTTAATGACATCATGCACAAAACTTGTGCAAACCCAAGCCAGACAGGGGGCCAGCATGGATGGATGGGGAAGGTGGGCAGGACCTCCTAGCCAAGCTGAGGATCTGTTGATAACTGATTGATGCTGGGAGAAGGAGAGTCAATTTTCTTCAAGAATGTGAAGCCTGATAGGTTAACCAGACTCCAAGGGATAGACCAATACCCAGGGTCATTTGGGAAAAACTAATTAGACTTTTTAGGCCTTTTTAAAAAGAGACAAATAATAATAGATGACATGAAGTCAGGGAGGGGGTTGGTTAGGTGCACATGGAGAGGGGGACGGGCCTGAATGGGATCAAAATACATTGCATGAAATTCTCAAATTAATAAAAAGATTTTTAGAAAAGCCTTTTGAAAGAGACAAAGCCTTACTCACAAAGGAAAATACTGATAAATGAAGCTTCATTAAAATTAAAATATTTTTTAATCAAAAGATAACATAGAAAGTATGAAAAGGCAAGCCATAGACATGAACTAGTACATATATTTAATAAAGCATACCCAGGCTATACAATGAGCTTCCACAAATCAATAAAACATTGAAAAGTTTATTTCAAATATATGCAAAACATCTTAAGCACTTCAGAAAATAGCAAACCCTTATATTAAAAGGTGTTCAACATCATGAGTAATTAAGGAAATTCAGAGGAAAATGACTGAGATCCTATTAAATGTCTAAAATTAAAGAATGACCATACCAAGCATTGATGAGGATGCGTGAATGGAATTCAACATTTTCAACAATGTCTGCATAAGTATTCCTTCAGTGAGAAACTCTTCTACCTTGTTTGTGGTAATGGAAGGCTGTCTAACCAGTTTAGAAAGCTTTTTGACAGTGTTTACTGCAGCTAACTATGCATGAACTCTTTAAGTCAGAAACTCATTGCCCCAAGAGAAATGCTAAACAAAAAACTGCATATAAATGATACCATGATGACATTGTTTATGACACTATGACCCAAAAGTTCATCAATATGAGGATATACTACAGCGTAAACAATGAAAACTGTATAGCAATAAAAAAAAAGAGTGAACTAAGGATACAAACAACTGAACGATCTCACAGATATAGTGAATGGAAAAATATCATTTGTCCCTAAATACATACATGCTACATAACCCCATTTATGCAAATTCAACAGACTGTGCAACTAATCTATGTTGGAGTAAGGGTTACCATGGAGAGCTCTCACCCCCAAGTAGGTACACAGAAACCTTCTAAATGTTCTCTGATTTGATATGATAGTTATACGAGTGTACACATATACATATAAAAATTCATTGCATTATGCTTTTAACATTTGTTGACTTTAGAATATATAAATAAAATTTCAGCAAAAAGACAAAAATGGCACCTCTGTATAAAAAGATTTTAATAAAAATAATTCTTCTAAATCTTAAATAACACTCAAAGAAGACCAAGATCTCTATAACGAAAACTTCAAGACACCGAAAAAGAAAATCAAGCAAGATATTAGATGATGGAAAGAACTTCTATGCTCTGCTCCTAGTTTGGCAGAATTAATATTCTGAAAATGGCTATACTACTAAAATTAATGTACAGATTTAACACAATACCTATCAAAATTCTAATGTCATATATCACAGATCCCAAAAAAGTAATCCAAAAATTCATTTAAAAGTGCAAAAGACCACAAATAGCCAAAGAAATCCTATAGAATAAGAACTCAGCAGGAGGCATCACCATACCTGACCTCAAATTACACTACAGAGCTATAGCAATAACAATAACAACAGCTTTGTACTGGCATAAAAACAGAAAGGTAGAACAATGGAACAGAATAGAATACCAAAAAATAAACCGACAGAGCTATGCCCACCTAATTCTTGACAAGAGAGGAAAAGACATATCTTGGATAAAAGATAGCCTATTCAACAAATGGTGTTTGAAAACTGGATATCCACTTCCAGAAGAATAGAATTAGACAATTTTCACCTTGTACAAAAATGAATTCAACCTGGACCAAAGCCCTTGATTTAAAACCTGAAATCCTGAAACTTCCAGATGAAAACAGGAAATACACCTCAGGATATTGGGATAGGCAAGAAGTCTGTGAACAGAGCACCAATAGCACAGACACGAGCCCCAAGTGTCAACAGAGAGGACTATATGAAATTCAAAAGTTTCTGCATAGCAAAGAAAACTATAAGCAGAACACACAGTTCACAGAAGGAAAGGAAATCTTTACCAGCTATATATCAGACCAGGGGCTAATATCCATAATTTACAAAGAGCTGCATAAATTAAATACCAAGGAAATAAAATTATCAGTCAACAAATAGGCTAATAAACTGAATAAACAGTTTTCAGAAAAAGAAATACAGCTTGTAGGAATGACTTTTACTTAACCTTGCAACCAAAAAGCTACTGTTTACAAAGCAAACAAGTTCAATGAGCCATGTGCTCTTTTGACCTGGGCATCTGACCTTGACCTCTCAGAACCCCAATTTGCTCTTCCCTCAAGATAGTGAATGAATGTGGGTGTGTGCGTTCATATTAATATCCTTACTAAAAGCAGTGAAAATTGAGAAGAAGCTTGACATTGTGTGTATGAGATGGTGTAGGCCTAGGGATGAAGGAGCAACATTGTCTGATGATAAGGATGGATCAAGCTTGTAGTTCCACAGTTGAAGCTGGAGAAATGATTTTGAATAAAAGTATAAACGAGGCCTGGCTCAACAGCAGAGTTCCAGGAGCCATCTGAAGGAATGAGTGCCCTCTGAGTTTGGGCCCACTCTTAAAACTAAAGTTAAGAGTCAGGCTGTTTATTCAGGTGTATCTGTAATGTTGTTCAGTAACACTGCAACGACTGACTAGTAACTATTTTAAAAGGTGTTCAGCATCATTAGTCATCAGGGAACTATAAATCAAACTACTTTGAGATACCACTTCACCCCAATAAGAATGGCTATCATCAAGAAATCTGAAAAAAAAAAAAATGTGGGAGAAGATGTGAAGAAAAAGGAACCTTTATTTGCTGGTAGTGGGAGTGCAAGTTAATACAGCCATTACAGAAATCTGTTTGGAAAATCCTCAAAAAATCAAAAATAGAGCTACCATATAACCTAATTATGTCATTCCTGGACATATACCCAGAGAACACCAAACCTTACAATAGAGATATTTGCACCCGCATGTTTATCGCTGCTCTATTCACTATAGGAAGGAAATGAAACCAACCAGTTTTCCATCAACAAAGGAATGGATATTTAAAATCTGGTGCATATATATAGAATGGATTGGCACTCAGCTCTAAAGAAAAATTGAATCACAAAATTCACAGGAAAATGGGTGGACC